GAAGATTTTTGAGAAAGGGAACCTCTGGTTCTAGAGGAAGGACCAGAACCAGAAGAAGGCATAGACGAACTACCTCCTCGAGTAGATCCTAAACTACGAAGTCTACCTCCCCTTCTGTTCCTAACAGGGGTATTAGGGAAGGAGTCAATAATGGAAACTCTCTCAGGGTTAGGGCTTGGAGAAGAAATATCGAAGAGGAATGATCTAAGGAAGAAATCAACAAAGATTTGGAGAAATAAGTGTTCAATAAGCTTTATGTGATAAAAGACAAAGGAAAAAATATATATTTATACCGATAAGCAACCGCCAAAGGTAAAAGTGCAGAGGTGGAAAGATCATAATTATGATAACTGGCACTTCGTAAATAGTGGAACCGTAAAAACCTTGAAAAAGGCTGCAAAATTGCAGGGCCAATGGAAAATTGACACGTGCATGAAATATTAAATGGAAGTGACAATTGAAGCGTCAATTTTGTCATAGCATTAATGGTGACAAAAATTCTTGTTTTAATGAAATCCACTTCCCAAATATTCAATTGATGAATAAATGGAAAGTGGGGGGACTATATGTATTGGGAAAATTGAATTTATATATGTTGAGACACGTGGACTGATCAAATAGTCAAAGAATTATAATTAGTCAAGAGGCACGGGCAGCAATAGAAACGAGTCAAAGGCAAAGGAAGAGGTACGGGAGGATATTTGAAGGATTCAACGCCCGTACCTATTTAGATCATTTATCAAAAGAAACGGATCTGACCATAATAAAGAGCGCAGATACGGAATTCGATAGGCATTAAATACCGGATACGTTAGAGAATTTGTATCGATTACAATGATTGTGTAACGTAGCATTCAATGTCTTTAATTATTCATAATAGCCTCATTATGATTTGAAGGAAACACATATCTTCAAGATACCTATAAAAGGGAGGTATCTAGTCACTTGTAAGAAAACGACACAATTGAAATATACTTTGATTCACTTGTTTTTCTCCTGATTACATTCTGGTTACTCCAAATTACTCTCTTCTACATATTCTATTGATTATCAGTAACCCGCGCTCTTCTAAATTCTAGCTTTGACTGAAATTTATTTTTTGGTTAAACAATAATAGAAGGAGATTCATACCCAACATATATCCCCAATCTTCTTTGCAGTCCCATCTTTGTGCGTTGTGGTGGAGCAATTGGAACATATACTGCACATCCAAATATTCTAAGATGGGAAATATTTGGCTCCTGACCAAGAGCCAATTGTATTGGGGAGACTTTGTGATAACTTGTAGGTCTGATCCACACAAGAGCTGCTCCATGCAAAATAGCATGGCCCCACGCTGAAATGGGAAGTTTTGTTCTCATAAGCATTGGTCTAGCAATTAATTGGAGATGTTTGATCAGTGATTCTGCTAGACCATTTTGAGTATGAACATGAGCAACTGGATGCTCAATTGCTATCCTAGTTGATATGCAATAATCATTAAAGGCCTAGGACATAAATTCACCAGCATTATCAAGACGAAGTGTCTTAATTGCATAATCTGGAAACTGTGTTCTTAATCTTATTAATTGAGCTAGTAACCTCGCAAAGGTCAAATTGCGGGTTGATAACAAGCACACATGTGACCATCTTGTAGATGCATCTATCAAAACTATAATATCTAAATGGTCCACATGGAGGGTGTATGGACCCACATATATCACCCTGTATACGTTCCAAAAATGCAGGAGATTCAACTCCAACTTTAATTACTGATGGTCTAATAATCAGTTTTCCTTGAGAACATGCAGCACAAGAGAATTCTTTAGTTTGAAGAATCTTCTGGTTCTTCAATGAATGACCATGTGAATTCTCAATTATTTTGCGCATCATATTATAACCGGGATGACCCAACCGGTCATGCCAAATAATAAAATCATTAGTAAATTTCTTGTTTACTATGACATGTGATTCAACTACACTATTAGTGTAGTATAATCCGGAGGAAAATGCGAGAAACACATACTTCTTTTCCGCTTTTATTGTAGTAATATAAAGGTATTCAACCTTCCCTTTATTGGTAGTCTCAATATGATAGTCATTTTGGCGAATATCTTTGAAACTCAACAAGTTTCTTTGAGACCTACTACAATATAATGCATCATTAACAACCAATATAGTTCCTCCTGGTAGTAATACAGTGACTCTTCTAGAGCCCTCAATTAATTTTGTACTACCAAATATTCTAATTATATTGGCTTCTTTCATAATTAATAAGAGAAATATCTCTTATCTTTTATATGGTGTGCGTTGTAGCACTACTAGAAGACATATTTCTCCTTTATTATTCATACAGCCAACTGAAGACTGGGAAGTTTTCATATTTTTCAAGAAGAAAAAAATACATCATAAGTAATATTGAAAATTTTAAGAACAAAAGAAACTATATTTATGAAATTAAATACCAACAACATAAAAAGTTTTATTCAAAATATGAACTTCATAAAAAGAAATACATTTATTCTTATAATTTTTCCCAATAATAAGTCTTCAGTTATGATGCTCAAAGAAGTCTCTAGCTTCTAAATGAGTAATATTTGCAAGACTTTCAAAAATATCATTTTTATAAGCAAGGTTTGCATCAACTTTATCATGATTATTCATAGGGCCCGCCTCAACATCATTTTGAAAAGTCAAGTAAGTCTCAACTTTATTTTGTTTCCCTTTTATAGATGCTTGATAAAGTTTGACAAAATGTTCAGGTGTACGACAAATTCGTGCCCAATAACTTTTTATACCACTTCGGTGACAAACATTACCTTTGCCTTTTGAAGGATTACTCTGAGAACCCTTATTGTTCTCTTGTTTATAATGATCACAACCATGGCGATTATTATTTCGCCACTTGCCACGCTCACGTATATTTATACGACCACGATAATTATTTTATCTTTTTTCAGACTTTGGATCAATCATTCCCAGATTCGCTTCTGGAAATGGAGCTGATCCAGTGGGGCGAGCTTCATGATTTTTCATTAAAAGGGCATTATATTGTTCAGCCACCAAAAGACATGAAATTAACTCAGAATATTTCTTAAATCCCTTTTCATGGTATTGCTGCTGTAACACCATATTTGAGGCATGAAAACTGGAAAGAGTCTTTTCCAGCATGTCCTCATCATTCATAGGTTCCCCACATCATTTTAGTTGGGAAATTATTCTATATACAACAGAATTATATTCACTTATGGTCTTATAATCTTGTAGCCTTAAGTGCATCCACTCACGACGAGCTCTTGGCAATACCATGGCCTTTAGGTGGTCATATCGTTTCTTTAAACTAGTCCATAATTGAAATGGATCTTTCAAGGTTAAATATTCACTTTTTAACCCTTCATCGAGATGATGGCGAAGGAAAATTATGTCTTTCGCCTTATCCTGACTTGATGCTTCATTTCCTCACCATGACCTTTAGCGTCAAGGTGAATTTCAGCATCAAGTACTCATGGTAAATAGTTATTTCCAGAGATGTCAAGTGCCATAAATTCAAGCTTTGACAAATTCGACATAGTGAAAACTATCATAGAAATAAGTGAATTAGAATGACAAGAATTATTATCAATGAAAAATTCAGTGCAGTACATAATTGTATATTAATATTCTATATGTATATTTATCAAACAAATAATTATGTGCAGTGCGATGATAAATTAGTGTTTAATATTATCCACAAAAACTTTAGACATGTAACTATATTTTCATAGAATAAATAAGTTGAAGTAATATGTACTATTATAATTTTGTTCTACTTAGAATACGTTTCAATAAGCTAAGTAGGTATAAAACTAGATGATATCAATTCTGACAAGTTTCAACATTCAATACGATACATCTAATAGTTAAGTTGTTAATTTTAAAGTCATTAATTAGTTTGTACACTTAGGTGATAAATTTATTGAATGCACATTTAAACCTTTTGAAAATTTTACAAGAATTTCTTCTAAATGCATATTCTGTTAGAATATTTGGATGTGGCCTTAATTAGTCTAATTATTTTAATTCAATTTTAATACTTATTTATTTATGTGTATGATTAAACTTCTTCGTAGTAGTTTATATAATGAAATAACAATTTAACTGAAACTTATTGTTTTCATACCAATGCAATTATTATAATCATATTCAAAACAAGTTATGCATATGGAAATTAAATTGCATGTTAAAGAAGATCCTAATAGAAACATTATAAACATAGGAATGTATACCTAAATCGGAAAAGAAACTGACTACCTCTTTTAGGAAGAAGATAAAATTCGGATGAAGCAGATAACCTCAGTTGGTTAGAACCTCGTGCTAATAACGTATTAAGAAATGAGAGCAAAATAGCATAATATATTAATTGAGATAAAATAAATATGAGGGAGAATATTTTGTTATTTCTTTTCTTGGTATATCTTTCATAGGGTCAAAAGTTCCCTATTTATAATGGTACAAATTCATTCACTAGTTATAAGTTAATGTACTTCTTAATTGAATACATGAATACAAAGTACGTTAAATGGACATACAAATGTATTCATCTCACTCACATGCATTCATCTCATTTATAACATTTTTCCTCTTTTTTTTTTTTTTTTTTTTTTTTTTTTTTTGTGGAAAACAATATGGAGAACTGGGAAGTTTCAAAAATAAATAGAATGTTGTAAGAGTTTTGATGGAAAAACATGCAAAAGCTATAATATATTATCTAGAGCTGGTTTTATTGATGAAATGTATATGGGTAAATTTTTGTTTAACAAATTAAAAGAGTCTTAAACAAACTCTCCTTTGAAAGTCAGTTTTGTTTGGAAAATAAAATGTTTTGAGTTTTTCTTTGATTAATTTGAAGATTAAGTACACGCATATAGAATTTCGTAAACTTGTGATTGTATTTTTCAAAACGGAAATGACTAGTTTTCCATAAAACCAACTACAGTTTTTCATCCTCATATATCCACGAGTTTTAAAAAAGGAAAAAAAAATAATATAAAATTATCCCCTTGTATACCACGATGAACTTTGAGGAATTAGTTCATTCAGTTTAAACAACAGATCCAAGTTCATATTGAGAAACCAACTAAATAGGGAATAAGAAAATCAAATGTTGATTGTTTCTCTCCTACATTATTGAATAAACAAATGTTTCTTGTCAGATTATTCTCTTCTAATAAGTCTGAAAACTATCATCATATTGTCTTAAATTCAATCATTTGCTCGAGATCTTGCTGCTTGTAATCACATTTGTTGTATGCTCTGGACCTGAATACTGGTTAATAATGAATCTTCTCCACCGTTGAAGCTAAATACTTCGATTGCAACAATCTTTCTTCTGATTTCTCATCAAAGCCATTATCCGCAGATACTTCAGCACAGTTGATCACAAGTAAACGATTTATGTACTTTTTAGCCTTCTCTGCCTGATTAGTAGAATTCTCCTAAGTGCAAGTATGAGGACCCAAGTTGAGGCGGAGATCTTTTCCTTTATCATTAGAAGCAATGCTGAACTTAACACTGTTTTGAGGATTTGAGCATGTAATCCCTTGAAGAAACCCAAGATACCTTCTTTCTTCCAGATAGAGCATATGACACCACTGATTGTCTTACTTGATTTTGGTTCAGCCTTCTTATCCTCGTCGTCCGCTGCTTGAATCATGACCTTACACCTGATTTCAGGTTCATGTTAAAAGGCTTACATTGGATTTGAAATGACGCGAATCCATGATAAAATACAAAAGAGATTCACCTGATGGCTGGATAGGTTAGAACTGTGGCTATGCTCTTTGACAGCGCACCTAATGCAAAAGCTGAGAATGCAGAAAGTACAACAGGCGATGCATCTTTTTCTGTCGTCTTCTCCTTACCTTTCAGCAAGTGTTGTTTAAGTTGATCAAAAACTGTATACTGCATCACATAAACATCTATTTTATCAAATCCCAACATTACTTAGTTGAAAAAAAAAACTGTGCTTCACATATATTGACATTACTTGAATTAACAGCGTTTCAAGTAATCCAATCAAATTTGTATAAACTAATTCAACTATAGTTACTTATTCAATTAACAAGAAATTAATTCTAAAGAATATTAAATACCTGAATGGCAGGGTTGGATGTCAACAGTAAAGAAATTCCAAGGCCATCAAATGCTTCACTCCAACTACCTTCTGTAAGTGTTTTCCAGAGGCCTTTCGATTTACCAAAGGCACTTGTCTGCATCCTTGAGGAAGCAGTATCTAGTGGCTACAGAAGAATATCAAATAACTTAGCATCAGAATCCAATTGAGCAACGTGATTCTCGGTTACATGAGATTATATTATATAGTATGCTTTTGGCTAGCGAATATCCATGCAATTCTGATGATAAAGAAGTGGAAAAAGAGCTATCGACATTGAGCAATGAGTTTTTGGCTCTTGCACCTACAGTCTTCCATTTTTAAATTCTATCGCACAGAAAACCCTTACCATAAGTCATGAGTTTATATCATACCATGACCATGGATTAGACATCAGAGATATTTAGTGTTTAGATGGAAACAATCTAAAATTGAGAGAGTTGCACTAATTCTTTTGCATACAGCAGCAGTAATGAGCAAGCAACCTGGAAAGTTGCTCCACTAATATTTTACCGGTCTATGTGCCAGCACTACGAATAGGAGGAGTAAAATGTGCACTACACAAAACTAGTTTCAATGTCCCAACAATTTCTTCTTAGTTCCTTCCCATTTGGGAAAAAAAAACAGATCAGCATTACTGTTAGCCATATTAAACAGACACCAAGCTTGCTTGTCCCTCAAGAAGCATTTGCACTTGTTCATAATAATAAGCCTCAAGCTCACTTGTAGGTCCTACTTCCTCACAACATACACGTGACGAAAAAAAAGGTAGAGCTTCAACACTACTCTTTTTCTTTTTCCATTAAATCTTTAACAAGAAACTAATCAACTTGAAGGCGATTTACGAACTGCTTACCTGAGTTGCTAGGGCCGTACAAGCGCCAGCTGCAGCTGCAATTATCAGATTGGCTCTTGTTCCAATGGATTTGGCACCACTTCTCTCCAAATAGAGTCTCTTAAAGTAGCTATATCCATAGAAATATACAAACTGGGCAATGAAAGATTGCAAGTTCTTGGTTCCCAGACCTTGGTACAGTGACAGTACCTTACCCCTTGATATTGCCTCCAGCAAAACATCAGAGAGATTCCTGCAGAAGGAGAAAATGAATCAGCGACAAATTTAACGTCAGAAAAAGTATAGTACTCGAAGTTCTAACATACATATGGACGAGGTACCGGAGAAGAAACTATATATCAAATATCAATGGATGTGCGGTGTGCGAATTTCAGATGTGCTCACTTTCATGAGATAAATAATTGAAAAAGGGGACACTGTTAAAGAAGCTAAGAGCATCTCGTACTAGACTTCATTATAAAATCCAAGCCTTTAAAGGAGTGGTCCATCATATAAAATTAGGAAAAGATTTCTTCCTTGCCACCAAGAGAATGAAACATCAGTTGGTTGACAACATCATTTTGAGTACGTAATCAGGGATTCAACCGTGTCCCTTTAGGCAGGACTCAGTACATTAGACTCGCAAGTTAACTTATCAATCAATCAGAGAAAAACAAAATTAAAAAGTTCTGAGGTTTTAAGCTCAATGGCGATTTTCTCATCCATATTAATAAATAAATTGTTCAAGTAGATAATCTCTAACCCAAAATATTTATCTTTGACAAAGTGATAATGCTGACACCCTGAGAAATAGTGTTAAAAGTTTTATCTTTGACAAAGTGATAATGCTGATACCCTGAGGAATAGTGTTATTACATGAGGCAAAGGGACCGGACCAAAAGCTCCAAGTCTATACCATGCACTTCATTTGCACGAAAATATACAGGATATTTTAATCCTCATACTAAAGGTTGTAAAATAAAAGAGATGACGACCACCCCACACACACAAAAATAAATAAATTAAATTAACCTTTATTTTACAGTTCAAAGTAATGGTCTACAACCTATAAAAGCCTCTCTAGTGACCCTGAACAGGAGGAGGTATAGCAACCTGTTAATCCTTCTAATATAAGCAGAATATGCAATAGAAAGCTCCTGCATTGTTTGGCCTACCAGATATTGGAAAATTTTCTTAATCTGGCTAACGAAAGATTGGTTTGGATTGGACTTCTGTAGATCAAGCATCATAGTCACACTGCTTTTTGTACAATAATGACCAAATCTTCTTGCCTGGAAATTCTAAAGTCGAGAAACCTATATGAAGGCAATACCACAATTCCTCACCATTCCAAACAAGTTTCACAAGAGAATACAACATTAGAAGAACAGTAAAATCTTTTAAGGATCCTGGGATCAACAAAAGATATGCAACATATGTAATTATGACTAATAAGGTTAATGTAAATAGTGCCAACAGCACAACCAATCTCTCACATTATGAACACGGACCACTGACTCTTACTCGTCAAGAGAAAATGAAGACCGACTCTTATCAATGCAATTCTTCAGAAGAAAAAAAAGCAGACAAATATTCATATCTGTATTTGAAATATTTGCTTAGATAACCAGGTAAACTGAAGCTTTGCAATGGACTTGTCCTTTTACTCAAGCCCTTAGTCTTGAGAGTTGAGACGACACAGTTCTTACAGAAATTTCTCTCTTTTTCTCTTCTAAGAAGTCATTTCTTACAGATGATTTCTCACTATCCTACCCTCTGAGATGCAGTAAATAATGTTACAAATTTTAAGAAAAGGAACAAGTCATTTTTTTACATTAACTCTGATAACTTAGGAAATCCTGAATCATCCATTTATTTCTCTGTAAAACTCAAATACTGGAAACTCTCTTTTTCTTCGTGAAAGAGAAATGCTGCAGAAAGAAAGCCTTTTTCAGCCAAAAGGCAAGAATATAACAAGATAATTTGAAGAACAAACTCTTAATAAAGGATAATATGTAATTAAGCAATGGCAGCTTTACCATAATCGAAATTCACTTTTACTCTTGAGTACTAGATTTGGCCACATGAATTTCAATTGACCCGTTAACTAAAACTAAAACACGAATCTGATTCATAAGTCCCTTTTAAAGATCCAAACTTTGATTACCAATCAAGGATTCCCATTGATCCAGTCCCACCCCTTCACAAAAAAATTCATACTCCTTTAATTCAAAAAAAAGCGTTGTAGAAAAAGAGGGAAAAAAAACAAAGAATCTGCCCATTCAGAAAAAACAACCAAAAAGGTGATCAAACAACAAAAGAATCCAAAAAAGGAAAAAAGAGAGAATTCCATGATCAGATGATCAGAGACATAGGAAGTAATCGGGTGAAGAAATCAAGAGAACCTGTATTTACGGAGACCATGAGCTTGAACCTCAGCTTGGTACTTAGCTTTACAGGTATCAAGAGGGTACAAGATAGTAGTGCTAACTAGAGCTCCTATGGCTCCAGAAGTCGCCTCTGATATGGATTCCAGATCACCTGACATCTCTCTTTCTCTCTCTTCCTTCAACTATATAATCAAGAATTCTATTTACCGCATCACAATTATCAAAAACCCAACTTTATAGTACTACTACTTGAGCACGGATCATTTAACAAACGCGGAAATTCCAACATCTAATAAGTCATTGTCTTAAAGGGAGAAAAGTAGGCGGCTTTGTACGCGAATTTGGTTTCCTGCGTTATGAAATACTATGAATTAACCCAAAGTGTGATTACACGGTGGGTGTGTGTGGGGTCGAGGATGGGTCTTCTTGGGATGTGTAATACATGATATATTAAAAATGACCTTAGTTCATATAAAATATGATAATAATAATAATAAAACTAAAAAATTTAGCTCCTATGTGTTTACAATATAAATGCATTTTATACTAGTTATACAATTTTACCCTGTCGTAATAAATTATTATCTGTTTATTTATTAAATTAAAATATTTATTTTGCAAAAAATTACTTATTTGTAATTATATATTACGTGATAAAAACTTGCCAATAAATAGTTAAGTAGTTGATCTCGGTTGGAAAATGATTTTGGTTTTTTGCGTTGTTTACATTTTCCACGTGACATATCCTAAAGGTGGACTGGAATTGGTGATGGGGTCCGTCTTCGCTACGCGACTCCTTTGACCTTGGCTTGCCAAAAGGGACTTCCTAGTTTCCTCTTCGTGCCCGTTTGGGAAACTTCTTCGTAATTTTTATTTGTAGGGAAATTTATTTATTTGATTTAGCCATTTTTTCACAAAATCTGCAGAATTTTATAGGATATGTTTTCTTTTGTTTTTGGGGAAAGGGTTAAATTTGTCCCTTTACTATGCGAAAAGAATAAACTTTACCCTTCGTTATAATATCAGTTTGAAGATACCCCTAATATTATAGAAGTAGATCAAATATGCCCCTCTTCCATTAAAGTTGTCCAAGGTGGACGCTCAATACCATGTGACACTAACATGTAGGTGAGGTGGACACATGACATGTCACCTCACCCCAAACCCATTTTACCCCTCCCTCCTCCTCCTTCCACCACTGCATTGCAAGATAAATTGTCCATTGTTCAAGTTTTTTTATATCATCTCTGAACCTATCTCAGGTGACCAAAAGGCAGACTTCTTACCATTCTTTGACCAGGTTTGGTTAGCGTCCATATAGCTGATGTTCCAACTAAAACCAGTGTCATCAACACCTATTAAATGTAGTTTTCTTTTGTCCGATAACTTCTCAACTAGATTCAAAATTTCCCTGTGGCAATTGAACTTTTTGTTTTTAAATTGGCAACCGAGAATCGAGATAACAACTTTGTCCAAAACGTTGTAACTCAAATCTTTAAAGCAGTCGTGAATGTCTAATGAATAAAAGTTTAATGTTCTTCCCCAAGAAAAAGTCATTACCCCGATTACGAATCAAGAAATAAATAGCTGCTGAGAGATTATCACGTCACTGTCGAAATCGGGTTCGTCCATTATATGACTAGCCGAGGTTAAAACGTGAAGGTCAAAGCTCGAGCTCGGGTTATATCGCACCAAGGTGCGAAGTTAAATCGTTGAGCTCGTGACTCCAGGACAGAACAAGATCGAGGGAACTTTGTCGACCCAAATAACGGAAGGCCGAAATATCCGGGATCGGTTGGAGAACACAGCGGAAATCTCGGCACGTATCAAGGAAAGGCTGATCAATTAGCAAATCACGAGATTGATTACCTTTTATAGAATTGTATCAAGAGTATGACTCCCCTACTATATAAAGGGAGGTTTGATCATTTGTAAAAGACATTGTAATACGCAACAAAAAGCAATACACTGTTATTTCTAGCTCTTATCATCTTGTTATTCTTTTCTTACATCAGTTGAGGCATTTCTTGGTTCGAGGGTGATCAAACTCAAAGGTCAAGACTGTTCAATTTGTGTGGTTTACGTTTATTCTCTTATCATCAATTTCAATATTAATCTGTTTTCATAATTTGTATCAAGTTATATCAAGTATCCTTAAAACCGCGTATAAATTCAATTGTTATCCGATTTTAAGGGTAAAGAATTTGGGCGTCTATCACGGGGCTAAAGGTAATAGTGATTACCTGGTACAAACTTTCATAACACACACTATTTTACACTTGTTCTTTGGAGTATCTTTGATTCCAGGACCAAAATGTCGAACTCGCAATCAACATCCCTACACGTTGACAATGATTTCGGCCAAAACGGTGAAAAATGATAACATAGCACTAGGGAACGACGTACCCCCAATTGGCCTTGATGGAGTTTCAGCTGTATATCCAATCGAACGTCAGCTCACATATAGCCGTCAACGCAAATTTGGCCGTCGATCCCAAGGGCAGCGTCCGTGGGGATGTTTGATCAGCCGCTCAAAGCATACATGGTGGCGAAGATGGCGGGATCAGCCTGCGGGTGATCTTCGAAATGTTGCAAGCTCAACAGGCAGCGATAGCCCAGCTCCAAAATCAGAATCACCCACCGAGTAGGATCGAGCCCGAGTTGCCCCAAGAAGTTATCCACAGGGTCAAATCGCTTTTGTTATAGCCCGCATTTTTGTAAGTTAAAGTTTCGTCGTAAGTTAATCGACGTAAAGTTCGAGAATGAGATTATTTTGACATTACAAGCATTATACTATTTCAAACAAGTGATCAGTAAATTCGTGAAGGTGAGAGGTAAGCAAATCGAAGAAATTGAATTTCGTCGAAGTTTGACATTTTTGATAAAATACGGCCCAAGCTAAAATACTCGGTATTTATGGACTAGTGCCATACAAATTACTACATGACCATGATAGTAAGGTGTATAAAGTATGTGAAAAGTGAGTAGTATTTTAAGTAAGTGAAAATAATTCTTAATTATGTGGATAATTGGTTAATTATTAGGTAATGGTGCATTACCTAGTTAATTAATAATTAGTAGTGAATTAATTGAAGTCTTTGGATAAAGACTAAAGTAAAACATGGCAGCAAGCCACTTCTTAGACAATGACTCTTAGTCATTTTAGATAGGTGGCAACCTAACATGATTAATTACAAGGCACTTCCCTTCTCATAGTTTCAATACAATCAGATGTGAGCTTTTGTAAAGTTAGCAACGTGATTTCTTTCAAAGTTCTTACCAAATTCCTACAAAAACACATATGGAATTCTTGGTTGTTTCCATTGTTTGGTCTCTTAAATAATAATATAACTTGGAGAAAATGAAGGAAGTTATGGCATTCTTGCCACTTTAATATTGACCCGCAATGTTTGGTGATTAGCACAACAAAAGACTTCTTTAAAATCTCAAGATTGAAGATGGTCATATTCGTTAAATGACGGGTGAGCTTCAGCAAACTTTGTACAAGATCCGATTATGCGTGAGATGTAATTCTAAGAAAGCACGGTACAATCTTTCTCAAGAATATCATGCGAATTTTTTCCTACTCCGATCTCGTCGTTACGTGATTTGTTACAATGGACATATATAAAAGGGATTGTCAAGAGAATCAGCTAAGGTATGTTAAGGCTATTCCTTCTTTCTTTTGGCATAATTGCATGACACAAACGAAATGAGCAAATGCGCAATTTCCATAAATGACTCTATTCGTAGAAATACTAGAGATGTTTATGTTCTTAATTCCCCATATGTCATATTATTCAATCATTTGTTTATGGGTCTCAGAAAAATACGTTAGTTGAAAAAAAAGTTTACTTTATGATATTACTCAAAGGCATAATGGTTTTATGATATTTCAAGAGATTTTATTAACGTACTTCTCATGCATTGCATTCATGTACATCGACCCATGGCCAGATGGCGTTATATACGCTTATATGTGTATATATATGTATATGGGATATGGAAAAAGATTTCGGCGTTATATACACACCACCACCTGATCAGCTGCTATATGTTGATGATTTGCCCACAGTGGCCGAGATGATATGATGAGATTCCCTCAGAGTCTTGATGATGTTATGAACGTATATACCCATGCGTGGTATGGCATTTATACGCATATGCATGACATTTTAAATATTAAAGGATTTACAGAGCTATTCAGACATACATATTGAGTCTTTTACTCCACGTTTCTCTCATGTCTATTATTTAATGATTTTTATCCCTTACATACTCGGTACATTATTTGTACTAACGTCCCTTTTGCCTGGGGATGTTGCGTTTCATGCCCGCAGGTCCTGATAGACAGGTCGAGAGTCCTCCAAGTAGGCTATCAGCTCAGCAGAAGATATTGGTGCGCTTCATTTGCCATGAAGTTGCTTATTTGGTCAGTATGATTAGTACATGCATTGATTGATATGGCGAGGCTCTGTCCCGACCTTTATGATATTATGTATTCTTAGAGGCTTGTAGACAAATGTCATGTATACAGATTCCTGTATGGCCTTGTCGGCCTATATTTTGAGTATATACAGGATCATGCCAGCCTTATTGCCCCATACGTCATATGTATAAGTTTGGATTACATGTTGGATCGTCCAATGTCGAGTATTTCCCTATGTTTTACTCTACTTATCCCACAATAGCCTTTCTGGCTCATTTACCTATGATAATATGACACGAAAGATACGTTACATAGGTACTCGGTTGAGTAAGGTACTGGGTGGCCGTTGCGGCCTATCGATTTGGGTCGTGACAAAAGTGGTATCAGAGCAGTTCTGTCCTAAGGAGTCTACAAGCCATGTCTAGAAGAGTCTTGTTTATAGGTGTGTCATGCACCACACTTATAAGCAGGAGGATACAAGGCATTTAGGATTGTCACTCTTTCTTCTTACTCTAGATCGTGTGGTAGAGCTCAGTCGTAGAAATTCAAATTCCTAAATTCTATTATATTCGTAATACATCGATACCGACATCTAGAAAGATGGTTGGTAAGGTATTGAATATGGTTGTGAAAGGATTGAGTCAGAGGAACTCGATTTTGTATCATGCTTATGATGAGTAAATGTAAGATCTCCAGCAGAACATGTGGGTACTAAGACGTGCAAGCTTCTTGATAAGGAGCCTTAAGGCAATGAGAGATTTAGAAGATAGATACAAATTTCAACAAGTAAAAGAAGCAATGTGAAAAAGGGTACGAGGTACCCAGTTAGTAAAGATGAACATTATCTACAATTCTGGAAGAGAGAAGTGAGCATTTTGAGTTACCTTCAACAGTAACAGAGGTATGTAC